AGGTGTTTAAGTTAATAATGAACTTTGCATGTAAACCTTCAATGTCGTTTTAGATTATTAATTAAAAAAGTCATGAGTAATAAGGACCGAATTTTTTATTAATAATTGAACTGTTAATAAGGAAATGTCATTACTCGAAGAGAGATGATTAATAATTCCTGAGCTAGATGTTAATAATTAAACTATTAAAGTATTTAAGTTAATAATAAGCTTTGCATGTAGAATTTCATTGTCGTTTTAGGTTAATAATTAAAGATAGAAAGATTAGTAATGACGTGGAGGGTTGTTAATAATCAAAGTGTGCGAGTTAATATGAACTTTGCATGTAAACCTTCAATGTCGTTTTAGAATATTAATTAAAAACGAGAGTATTAATAAAGACGGAATTTGTTGTTAATAACTGAATGTTTTAATAAGTAGAGGTCAGTACTCGGAGAGGGATGATTAATAATTCCTGAGCTAGATGTTAATAATTAAAGTGTTTAAGTTAATAATAAACTTTGCATGTAGAATTTCATTGTCGTTTTAGGTTAATAATTAAAGATAGAAAGATTAGTAATGACGTGGAGGGTTGTTAATAATCAAAGTTTGCGAGTTAATATGAACTTTGCATGTAAACCTTCAATTTCGTTTTAGAATATTAATTAAAAAAGAGAGTATTAATAAAGACGGAATTTGTTGTTAATAATTGAATGTTTTAATAAGTAGAGGTCAGTACTCTGAGAGGGATGATTAATAATTCCTGAGCTAGATGTTAATAATTAAAGTGTTTAAGTTAATAATAAACTTTGCATGTAGAATTTCATTGTCGTTTTAGGTTAATAATTAAAGATAGAAAGATTAGTAATGACGTGGAGGGTTGTTAATAATCAAAGTGTGCGAGTTAATATGAACTTTGCATGTAAACCTTCAATGTCGTTTTAGAATATTAATTAAAAAAGAGAGTATTAATAAAGACGGAATTTGTTGTTAATAATTGAATGTTTTAATAAGTAGAGGTCACTACTCGGAGAGGGATGATTAATAATTCACGTGCTAGTTGTTAATAATTAAAGTGTTTTGGTTAATAATAAACTATGCATGTAAAATTTCATTGTCGTTTTAGGTTAATAATCAAAGAAGGGAAGATTAGTAATGACGTGGATAGTTGTTAATAATTAAAGGTAATAGTTTTTTTTTAATTCTTCAATGTTGCAGATCTGAATGAAGTACCCTGTGATGTCAAGTTGGAAGGTGAAGATATTCCCAAGAACAATGACTTACGTGAAGAGGAGATTACAGTAGAAAATGTATATATAGAAGGCGAAGGTGAGTTGATCGATCTTGTATAAACGTGGATTGGTAAAAACTCATGCTAGTGACGTGATGTGTTCACTGTTACAGGAGTGGGGGATGATGGACATCCGAATGATGCTAGTTCTATACTAGTCGTGGACATTCGTGATTTTAATATTGATAACATGGGTAAGTCGAATTGATAACAATCATATTATTAACAAGTTAAGAAAATGTGCATCATTATTAACCAATTTCTTGATAATAATAGATAACAAATAGGTTGAGAACAAGCATAGATTGATTAACAATGGACACAAAAAATTTGCGAACGTCCACGAAATGATTAATAATAGACACCAAAAAATTAAAAACTACCTACTAATGTGCACGACAGATTGATTAATGATAGAGAACAAAAAGTTGAGAACGAGCACATATTGATTAACAATGGAGACACAACACAGTTTGTAAACGCCCACAGAATGATTAATAATAGATGCCAAAAGGTTGAGAACGAGCACAGATTGATTAACAATGGACATAAAAAAAGGTTGTGAACGTCCACGAAATGATTAATAATAGACACCAAAAAAATTAAAAACGACGACAACGCCAAAACCCCAAACTTACGAAATAAATATTGAAAACGTAAAAATAACTTAAAACGCTGCCGACGAGGGATAAGGGTTCCACGATGGAGAGAGAGAGTGATTAGGTGACGGCGGCGATGGAAAACACCTTAAAACGCCGCCCCCGAGGGATAAGGGTTCGACGACGGAGAGAGAGTGATTCGACGGTGGCGGCGACGGGAACGAGACTTAGGCAGCGACGACGATGGTGTAGAGCAGAATCACTTGCCGGAAATCTCAGCGGGAGGGAAGCAGAATCACTTGCCGAACATCGTTACAACTATTGTACACCGTCAGCGGGAGGGAAGCTGGACCGACTGCAACGCGAGCTAGTATTCCTCGCCGGCCGGAGAAGGGACGACCGGACGGAGAACTCGGGACGACCGGACGATTCGCCTGTTTGCGGGAGGAAGAAGAACAGACACCGGGACGGCTCGCTCGGATTCCGGGAGGGAAAAAGAAAGAGACGTGGGTTAGGGTTGGGAAAAGAAACATATGCCGGTTTTTAATTTAATTGTAGTCTCCTTTTTTTTTGGTAAACAAACGAGCGCTAGGGGCGCAATTGTAGTCTCCTTAATACCCATAACAACTATTTAACTAATAACTCACCCTAATTACCTAAAATTGAGTTAGCCAATCACAAGACTTTAAGTTCCTCCTTAAAACAGATGCCTTAAGGACCTGAACTTAGACCATTAATTTCAAATCCTGCCTCCATTCCCTGAGCATTGGAACGGATAAGTTGACGTTGGATTTGTTGTTCTGGGTGTAGTTCATTTTTTTAGTTTTATTGTGTTGATTTTCTTTGTTTTCAAAATTGAATAATAAAAAATAGGCATAAGTTGACCGATTTATCATCTTTTCATTCACTTTCACATCACAAAAAATTTCCATCTCAGCACTGCATTGGCTTTATGCTCAATCTTAACCACCAGAAGATTTAAAGGAGACTTAACAGTTCGCTATTTTTTTTTTGGTTCAATAGATATGACTAATATTTTGTAAAAATTGAAAATTTTGGCTAGTATTTATTTTTTGAGTTATCAGGGTAACACTGATTCGTGGCACTGACTTAAATTGCTAAAGCTCTGACAGTTTGTTCATTCTCATCTTATCTTTGGTGGATAGGGATGCTGATTGGAATGGAGAGTTGATGCTTTCAATATATTGTGAAGGAAATCTGGGAGTCCCTTTGTCCAAATCACTAAAGGGTTCCTTGATCATTATGAATCGGATTCATAAGAAAAAAAGGGACAAGATGCAAGGACGTCCTTGCTTTGCTCACGATGCGATTCTGAAAGAGAGAACGCAACCATCTGTTCGCTCACTTTCCAAGGTGTCATATTCTCTAGTTGCCGGGGCACTAAGCCACCCCAACTGTTGCGATTGGGTGGCGGCATATGTTTTTTTGGACTAAATCTAAACAACAAGAACAATACATATTACAAAACACGTGTATTCTACCAATTGATGGCTTCATACGATACTAAAGTATTTAGACTTTCAAGGATTGAAAGATCGTACTAAAAAAAAGTTAATGGTAGGGTATTTTATGTCGGAACCGTGATTAAATCATTTCATAACGCAAAAAATCACCTATCAATTTTGCTTATGGTAGGAGGTTTTTCTGGTCGATCCGCCGGTACTGTACTGTTTTTAATGCTTGCTTCCAATATGCATACTTTACACAAACAAAAAGCTTGAGTGCTACTCGCTTTGAGCCCGTCCATTTTTTTTTATAAAAAGAGATTCAAAATCTTCATAACATTCTCGAGCTACTTTTTTTGCGAATCGATTATTTTTATGAAATGAGATTCAAAGTCTTCATATCATTCTCAAATAGCAATTTTAGAATAGTAACTATTCTCGTGACTCGAGGTGGAAAGTGTATTAGATTAGGGGTGTTCAAATGGTTACCATGGTTATAACCAAACCAAATAAGGCTAAATTCCATTAACCATGGAATACAATATCATAACCAAACCGTCCAAACTAATACAACAACCAAATTAACCAAACTAAAGTTTAATCGGTTTGGTTAATTGGTTAACCAGATTAACCAATATAAAATCACATTATCATTGACGATAAAAATTTTCCGGTTAATGCAACAATTCGCAATTTATATAATGAATAAAACATAACAATCAACACGTAGTTATAGTTGACCCTTAACAAAAATACATGCAACTAAGACAAGTATCTTACGATTAGTATAGAAGTATTCACCTACAAAAATTTATGACCATGGTATGGGTTAATGAATTGTTGTGTTTTTGTAAATTGACTTAGTCTCTTAGCAATTATCATAGGCTGGAAATGACCTTCTTTTCAAGTTTTCATCTATCATAATGTATGAAATTTATCTAAATTAGGCGTCCATATGTTGTGGTCTACATTTTACATATACACTATATGAGCAATATTGAGCTTTATATTTTATGAGTCTAAAAGGGATGAACGTTAACTCTTGAGTGGTTATGCAAAGTATTAAATATGTGTATATAATATATGTTAGATATATGACTAATTACTTAACTGGTTAATTTGGTTTGACTGGTTAGGAGTGTCTGAAACCAAACCAAACCACCTAAACCAAACAAGCTAAAAACTTTAACCAAACCAAACCAATTATCCAAATTAACCAAACCAAATTATCCAAATAGTACCGGTCATGGTAACCAAACCGTTTGAACACCCCTAATTAGATCCATGAATTGGTGGATTGAAGTGGTAGATCCATGGATCAAATGGATTAGTGGATTCATGGATTGATAGTAGATTGATCCATAGATCCAAATGACATCCAAAATTTGGACCAATATATAAATATTAAAAAGTTTAGGTACTAAAATATCATAGTAATAAAATTTAGGTACAAAATTGTAAATTACAAAAAAAATATAGGTACTAATCTATAATTTGCTAATGATTTATGAATCCACCAATTCAATCGAATTTGGTACAAATGATTGAATTTAAATGAATTAGATTAGTTAAATATTAAAGTGGATGGATGGATTGAATTGGTTGATTGCCCTCCTTTCTGATGTGGATATTAATAATATACCACAATCCACCTGCATCATACCCAAACAATTATATTTCAAGTCTTGATATATGTAAATTGTTTTGCCATTTGAATATTAGTTGGAAATCTCATAAGATAGTAATTGAAGAAGTGGGAAATCACGACCAACTGAAGTCTTTGACATGGGCTTAACTAGATCATAATCATAACCGTAGAGGGTCTCAATCAGAGGGTATTAAGCTGCGCTCGTGCCGGAGTCGCTGCTCGACTTCACTATGTCGAAGTATAAAATTCATACATATGGTTGAGCCATAGTAGAAACAAGATGCTAAAGTTTAGAAGAGGTTTACAGTACCACAATAGAGGGACTCAGAAAAAGAATTCCAAGCATCACTCCTCTAAGTGGCTGCCATTGATCCTTCTTAGTTTAATAGCGAAGAACTAATCAGTAATAAGATATCAACTGTCGGACTGACTCACTTCAGTTCGTCGTGCCTGTGGCTCTTGAAGTCGCATACACCGAGTTCTCATACTTGCCATTCCACCTGTAAATTTCCAGCACCATAACATTTCAGTAAAAGATGATGTATTCTTCTTCTTCAACCTAACCTTGCTAGGCGCGATTAAGTGACCATCACTGGATTCACGGAAAAAGCTGGCGAAGTTAAAACCAAACTCACCTGTTTTCTTCCTTCTCCGGAATTTGGAGCTCTAAGTCCATTGCAAATGGGCGGAACACATCATCCACCTTGGAATCATCAACTTCTTCACAAGTCGGTGGATCCCACTGCACCCAGAGTTCATGATTTTGTTAACGTCTAGCAACTTGGGTTATCGAGATAGAGCACGCATCAGCAGCATGATTAGCAAGGCAGAACGAGAAAGCGTACCTTGGGAGCATTATCCTTGTCGACAGTCAAAGCCCTTATACCCTTTTCCGAAGAAGAAACAAGCAAAAAGATTAAATCAAGATCTAACTAGGATTACTGCTTTTCTGTAACTGCCATGTTTCTCTTCTCTCCTTCCCCAGTTAACTTTGAATTTCTGGAAAGTTCATAACTACCGTACCTCATAGACATCACCAGAGATTTTCGTTCTCAATATGTTCATTGTCAATCTGAACTCTTTCTTGAGACATTCACCTAATGCTTGCTTCCTTCCTTCGCGCACCTGGAAACACATTAGCAAATGAATCAGTTGTAAGCCATCCATCAGAAACAAAGAAGTGTTGGGATCAGAGTTGGAGTTGCAGCTGAGGAATCCTTCTCCTTGTTCGAAAAGGATTGGGAGAGGGGCCAAACACAGTTCAAACTCGTGTGTGTTACGTATGAAACTGTGTCGTTTGGTTTAATTCAGTCAAATCCTTGAAGTTGTGTTTTGTGTCAATCAAGTCCTGTGAGTTGTTAAAGGTTGTTGAATTTGCAGCCGAGTTGTTGATCATGGGCTGTTGATTTTCACGGCTGTTAGTTAGTGGTTGGAGATGTGAAAGCCAAGTTTGTGGCTGAATCACACGTACTTATGTTCAAGTTTCTCACTTCAATAAACTTGCCAGATTGCAGGTACATTTAGCTTTCAAGAATAACCCATAAAAAAGGAAAGAAGGCATTACCGATCGAAGCGTGACCTTAAGTCCTGTGGGGGATGATCTTTTCAATCCTTTGAGAATTGGAACTATCCATCCATTTCCTTCCTTGCTTGCCTCTGCTTCCTGTGAAGTGAGATTGGAGAAGAGTCAGACCTTGCCACTGATGATAGAGAAACAAATTTAAGAGGGAAATTGTGATAAAGCCAGAATAAAGAAAAGGAAACACAAAGATCTGACAGGGGAAACTTACTAATGATTTGATGATATCAACTATCGTCTCCTTTGAAAAGCATTCATCCAGCACTGACTGCCTAAAAGGCCATACCACTATGTCAACGAAACTACCATAATTACATTTATGTAACAGAATGTCAATATTTATCTGCAGATTTAAGCAATTACTTGCTTAATAAACTATCTTCGCCAAGCTGGATGTCCTCTGAGAATTCCTCAATGACTGAGTTGACAGCATCTATACCACCGGAGTTCAAGTTGATCAGATGCTTCTCCAGTTCAGGCAATTTCTGAGACACATGAACAAGCACAATAACCATTTCCGTGTTAGCAATAAGAGTGGAAGTGACGAACAAAAATTTTCTTTGTAGGATAGTAACTTAGATTATTAGCCACCTCTGATGGGACGAAATGGGTCGCCATGCCAACCGTCACTAGTTCCTTCCCATTAAGCCTTGATCCAGTCAAGGCCAAGAACTCTCCTATGAACATAGGTAACAATTAGCACCAAGAGGAAGAAAGAATTGTACACTAAAAACATCAAAGTAGCCCATTAGCTCAGTTGGTATAATGTTTTGCTAATAATGCCAAAGGTCTCAGGTTGTAGACCTGCATTGGCTAATATTTAACCTTTTATCCCTTCAAGTTACCTAGGTACCCAGGGAGGCGTGAAAGCATGTAGGAGAACCCACAATCAGTGTGAAATCCAATACTCGCTTCTGGAGTTGCAAATACCTACAGATCCATCCACAACATGCAGCAGGTAAACATCTAAAAATTGATCAACTGAAATGCAACTGTTCTTAGTAGAGAATAACTAATTCATAACAAACCAAGCTGCCCAATACACACCGTTTTCTCGGTCACCACAGAGAACTTCATTGGGACCATGAAGGATGCACCTCCACCCATGGAAATCCCATGGACAAGAGCCACCTGTTGATGCAATTGGCAGTAATCAAATCTGCATAACTTTCTTCATTCCAATTGGCAATCACCAACATATTCAGAAAACAATTTGGCGTGAGAATGAAAATAGTACCTGCGTTTTCTTATATGAATGGATATGATAACAAAGCCAGTACATTCTATAGACCACTTCAAGGCAAGAATCCTCTGACAAGAAGCAGATGTGTCATCTTAAAGGTGCATCTTACTACTAGTGGGTAGTTCAAGTAAATAGATACGCTATTTACGCAAAAATGCATATAGTGACCATGTGAGGAAGAGTAATTGAAGAAATCTAGAGTAAGACTTGCAGAAGGGAGAAGGCTTTAGAGAGGATAACTGGATACCTGAAGTCCTGCCATCGTAGAACATTTTCAGATCCCCACCAGCAGAAAATGCACGTCCAGCACCCTGAAGGTGACACAAACTGGCATTCTCAAAAAACTTCCTAAACCCAGAACAGCCCGAAGGGTAGATCAATGGAGGAACAATTGCCCTCTTTCATCTCTCAACTCACTGGACACATTTCAGATCATACTGTTAGCAAACATTGATTCATTTGTTTGTCATTGGTATTCTCTAGTTTCTATGACTTCAATTTGTACTACAACTAACCAAATAAAATAATTTTTGAACCTTGATTGCACTTGAAGCTAAAGTTTGATTGTAACTTTGATCTTAAATAAAAACTAAATACAACTAGTTTTAGCCCGATTCTCCAGCAGGATCATGAGTCATATCGATATTTAAGATTTAACATACTTGCTGAAGCTAATCGCACAAATAGATATGAAACTACTAGTTGCAAAGAAGGATAAAGAACTAGCCTTGATCAGTATAAGGTGTACATTATCGTCTTTCTCCCATTTCTCCAGAAAATCTGCCAGCAGAGATACCTGATTGCCGTATAAGAGAAGAAGCAGTAGCACTGGTTTGCAGTTGCAAGGAAGTCTATTCTCAATACATGTAAAAGTTTGAGCTAGCAAAACATACCACTTTCGATGAGATAACATTCAATTGACGAGGCCGGTTCAACGTGAGCAGCCTTACACGGTCTATCTCTTCTCCAAGAACAACCTTGAAAGAAGGAACAAACCAAAAGCTCCATTGAGACAATTAGCAGAACACTTGGCAGGCACACAATGCTGAGAATTGGGCACGAAGAAAGAAGGAAGCTACTCAAACCTGCTCATCTGGGTTCACAACCTCTTGAGCCATTTGAATGAGCTGATTGATGTTTCCGACTGTTTTCAAGCAAGAAACCGATCAAGAGAAGGAAACAGAAAATGTGCACATAAATTTCCCAAAAACAGAGCTTAACAAATGCATGCAAAAAACCCAGAACCTAGAATACAAAATCAGCGGAATTGGAATGAAGAGATATAAAGAACAAAGACAAACCAGTTTTAGGTGGGCAGAAGAAAAAATTTCTAGCGACCAAGAAACAAACGGAAGGTTAGGTAGGGTGGGATGGGTAGGTTCCAACTAACCCCCATGATTTGTTCATTAGAAAATGGTAATAAATAATATTTAGGGTAAATACAATATATTAGCCACAACTATTATGAAGCGGGGAATTATAGCCACAACTATGAAAATTCAAATTATTAACTATAACTATTGTTACAGGTCAAGATATGGCTACCTGCCCATTACTTTTATTGAATATTTAACGGAGAAGGTTACGTCAGCGTCCACGGCAACAGCCACGTCGGACTGCTTTTAATTTAGAACTTTAAAACATAAAAGTTTAATCAGTATTACTAACGAAATTGTTAACAAATAGTTAACGTTTGCTAATAATTTGAATTTCCATAGTTATGGCTATAATTCCCCACTTCATAATAGTTATGGCTAATATATTGTATTTACCCTAATATTTACTCTGTACGTGTGTGGGAGAGAATAAGATGAATAATGAAATCGGTTAGCTAGGCCTAGGAGTCGGGTGTGACAAATGATACAATGGAATGGGTTAGGGTGGTTACATATTTTTTAGTAATCATGGTGGCAACCTCTTTATATATTATTTGATTTCTTATTTTCCTTTTTTTTTAATCTTACGGTCAAGATTCTTTTAGGGTCATTTTGAAAATGAAAAAGTGACAACACCTAATTATTCTATATAATCTACCCAAACCCTAGTTCTGCCTCCACCACTCCAGTCGCACTAATCCTGTCGGCCACCTACTCTAGCCCCAACGACGATGACTCTGTGCAGGAGACGACGACTGCCGTCGCTGTTGTTGTGCCCTACTTCGACTCCGTCGCCGCCCTTTCCCACTCATCTTCCTTCTTCACCCTCCGACTCTGCCTCTGCCACTCCCACCGCACTAGTCTCGCCGGCCACCTCCACCAGCTCCGACGCATCCGTCGTGGCCCAGTCTCGAAACAAGCGGCTCCTTCACTCCCGAACCGGAAGCTCGTGGAAGAGAGAAAATCAATTCATGTCCTCTTCATTGCCTTCGAGTGGAGAGAGATGGAGAGGGATTGAAAGAGAGCGCACCATGAATTATATATATAGATACATGGAATGTAACGAGAGCGAGAAGCAGAGCAGTGGAGGAAGGCAAAACCAAAAAGCAAAGAAATTGATTTTTTTTCATGCAATGGTAGTGATCTACCATTTTCGTAGTTATATGCATATATTGGTAGTGATCTTGCAATGGTAGTGATCTTTTGGTGGATTCGTATGTTATTTAATCTTACAATGGTAGTGGTCAAGATGAGTTGCATTGTTTGTTGATCTTGCAATGGTACGTGTGTGCGGTTTTGTTGAGACTAGCATGCATTGGTAGTGATCTACTGTATGGAATGGTAGTGTTCATTGTTATATGTGCAATGGTATTGTTCGAGTTTTATGGAATGGTATTGATTATCATACATAAGGTTTCTACAAACACTAGTTACTAACAATAGCAAAACATAAAAAAGCTATGCCAATACCAATCAAACCCAACATATATACCAATAAAGATATGTATATATACTGAAACAATAATAAATCATACTCCTACGATGTCTGATGAAGAGCGACGTCAACCATATGTCTACCAACGCAGAACTAACGACAATAATACCATTTAAACACAGGGACAAGCAAAACAATTCATTTTAATGGTACTGATAATGAACCAATACCAAACCATGCACATCGTACAAGTTACAACCATTATGCACTGCATCCAACTCATTTTCAATATTGAATACCAATCCATCAACAAAGATATACACCAATACCACAATGTAAACACTACCAATAAAACACAACATCACTACCAAAACAATAAGCACCAGAATACCATTCCTACCCTTAGTAGCCACGTGCTCCCATGATACAATTTCCTTTTAGTAAATGGTACTACATATTGGCCATTGTCAAAATTAATGAAAATAATCGTCTGAGAAATTTATTTCGATGGCCTACAAACATAGGGAGATAAATTTGTACAAAAATAATATATTAAAAAATATGTGTCGATGGGTATCAGAGACTTGTTGCCACAAAATTCGCTATGTTGATTGTCATGCAACATCCTGCAAACAGCTTGTCTAGGAATGACTTCCTCACAGCTCCTTGCCCATGCAATGCAACCTGCTAAGTCTACTACTGCTGTCACATCCGTCGTCTTCACATCACTCACCATGGCCAATTACATTCTCATTCCACTCAATACTACCACCAGGACCTAGAGAGTTTGGTCACCAGAGAAGTTGCGGAAGCTATGAATTCGCAATACGTCAATGCCAACCTGAGTCATTTTCAAGCTGAATACTCGCCGCTCCCTTACCATAATTTTATCAAGACGATTGTCTTACACCCCAAGGACCACAACCTCAGTTCACCTTAGTTTGTCAAAGTTGGTTCCAAGATTGATACCTACAATTCACTTATCAAGATTTTCTCCACAAGAGTCTGTCACATGGCATGAGAATCCAGAGTTTTAAGGGTATCAGGATTAAGAAGGCAAGTTGTTGTGGACCACTGATGTTGTCATTGCACCAAATGTTGTTAACCTGTTTGTTGCAACATCACAGTATCCTTCATCACCACAAGCCCTCTGATAGTAGACGAGACGATGATAAACTGGGAGTGATGATTAGAAGAGCTATCCAGCAGATACATGGAGCCCTCGGTTACTATCAATTTCTATGAAGCAATCATCACCGTCATGCCAACATCTCAAACTCGGGAGTCCGCACCATTGACATCTGCACTATTATTGCGTGATCTTAATCTCTGTCGGAGAAGATTGTTGATTGCTACAAACACTAAAACTCCTAGCATAGGCAAGAGAGCCAATGAAAGGATTATAATATACATAATATGATGGCTTCAAATTATAAAATATCGTAAGTTCAGTCTCCAAATTTATTAGAACTCAACTTCAGATGATTATTTAGAAAATTTGAATTACTAGTTTAGTTACTTCTATGAACTATGACTTCTTAAATTAGCAATTCAATGATTAACTAAAGTAAATGAATATAATTGGTCGGAATTTAAAGGTGAGAAAGCTTACTTGGTTATTTATTCCCCCTAGCTTTTAGACAAATAACAATTTGTGCAACCCTAAACTAACCAGAATGCTCTGCAATAAAGACATGCCGATGATCATTGTCCCTGTAGTTTTTTATAATAGAAATTGCAGTGTTGGAGTCCAAGTTCAGCTGAACTTTTTTGTACCCCTGCTGTCATGCAAGTAGCAGACCCTCCATTGCACCCTTCAATTTTGATATGGTGATTGACCATTATTCAAGGTTGCACATGAAGGCCCCTTTGCATCTCCCTAAGTGATCCCTTATGAGTGCCCCTGCTGCAGCACGACCTTCTGGCTCCACGACTGATCCGTCAGTTTGGATCTGGATCCAACCCTTTAGTGGAGGTTTCCAAGCAATTTGTTGTAGCTGCTTTTATTTTTTTGCTGTTGGGATGATACTCTTTTAGTAGTTCTCTTGTGCTTGTCGATACACATTGTATTAACCCTTCATTTAGGAATACCATTCCTACCCTTAATAAACAAGTGCCAACACACAAAGCCAAAATCCACTCCCGTCTCTTCTGCTACAAGGTTGTCCAGCATCCATTCCTTGAATGGTTTGTTGAGATCCCTGACAACTATTTTACTCCTCAAGCTATCCCAAAATGTCACATGCTTTCCTACATCTTCTGATGATGTGCTCTATGGTCTCATCCTCATTCCTACTGGGGTTGCAGATGTTGTTCGTAGTGAGTTTGCGTCTGGTCCTTTCTTTGTTGGTGAGTAGGCCATCGTGGAAAACTAGCCAAAGGAAGTGCTTCACCCTATTAGGCTTCTTCCATTGCAAGAGATCCTTCCAACTCTTCTCTGCTTCTTCTTCCATCTCGTTTACAGCAAGCTTGAAGGCTGGCTTGAGCCGAAATCTCTCATCTTTCTCCAACCCCCAAATTGTTTTGTCCTCTCTTGCATTTGGCTTTGGAGCTTCCATACCTTCCATCATAGAAAGAACATAATGAGGAAGAAGATCCTTGAACTTATTCCAATTCCACTCACCTGTTCCTGTTACCCAATATGCCACCACAGTGCCCCTTTCACACTCAGGCATATCAGTGAAGAGATAACCTTCCATAATGATTCCATTATCAAGCCAAGGCTGCCTCCAGAACTAAATAGTCTTTCCATTCCTTATGCTCCAGTACATGGCGCTTTTTATCAGCGGTAAGGCCTTCACAATGGCCCTCCAAAGATTGGAGTGGTTGCTAATCTTCAGTGCAACAATATTGCCATTATTGTGCTTAAAATAATTTCCCAGTAACACTCGAACCCACAGATGATTCTCATTATTAAACATATTCCAATCCAATTTAATCTTGTGTGTAGTGTTTAAACTCCAAGCTGATTTAATTCCAAGTCCCCCTTGGTCTTTAGGTTTACATATGGTTTCCCACGCAACCAAATGAACTTTTCTTCTACCTAATTGTGATCCCCAGACAAACCATCAAATTTTCCTATAGATTTCATCCACACTGAAGTAGGGAGCATAGTTGTTTGCATAGCATATGTGGGGATAACATTCATCACTGCAGTTGCTAATGTGACTCTACCCGCCAAAGACAGGTTTCTAGCTTTCCAAGCATTCAATTTCCGATCCATCTTATCAATTATGTACTTGTATGTGTTCTTAGTGGGTCTACCATGCAAGACTGGCACTCCTATATACCTTCCCAAATTAGTAGTAGACTGAATATTAAGGGTACTACATATCTCTTTGTCGTCATGTTTTTATCATTTTTAGAAAAGTAGACTAGATTTTTCCTTGCTAATCAGTTCTCCTGAAGCGCTACAGAATCTTCCACACAATTCAAAATGATAACAACTTGGAATAAACCAGCCTCCGAGAAAAGGACCAAGTCGTCAGCAAAAAACAGATGGGACAATGCTAGGTTTCCAATTTCCTAACCTCTTTAAGAATGCAGTGACCAAGCCTTTCGAAACATAG